TCTTATTGCATGTTTCAAGGGATAATATTGGTGAAGGAAAGCATTTTCTGCCAGCAATATAGATTTAGGGTAACATTAATATTGGTTCAAGTGAAAGTCAATACTCTTTTCATTAAAGTTGTTTTAGCAATGGAAGTCATCATTAAATATTTCTCAAAGACAAAGTTAAGAAAACAGAATGTGCCTACAGATATTGTCATAAGAACTTCTTAAGCCAAGATGTGACATTTCATCAAAAACATTTGATTTTTACTTGGAAGATGCCTTAACAATAGAAATTAATAAACACTTCATATTGCTGAGTTAAAATCAGGCTGCTTCACAAAAACTTATCTTTCTTTGTTATATAAAAGCATAATATGTTTTGACTTAATCTGTGAATGGTCTATTTTAATTAAATCCTAAGAAAATATTCTACAGGGCATTTATTAAAGAACAAATTAAATACAAAACAAATAGTGCTTCTTGGAGATAAATATGCAAACTAAAAATTATAGGGAGAGTAACTCTAAGAAGCCTGAGATCCAGCTTTCTGATTAATTTAATTTTGGGTGTTCTATCTTCTTGTTGATTGAACATGTCTCTTGCTTAATACTAAAAACTGATTTATTTCATCTTTTTATGGTTCTACCCAGAGGTCATTTTGTTTTTCCTTAGACATTTCACTTTGGGGCCTACAGTTAAGTGTCCTGTTTTTTTCTCCAATAGTCTGAATATATATTCAGTGAGAGGAAGTCATGTACACACTTAATATCAGTGCAGAAGACAGAGAAGCAACTTCTACTATCTTTGAGGAGAGAGCACAGGAGGTGATTGTCACTAATCATAAATGTCCCCTGAAGAGTGTGCGCCCATGTGGCCCTTGACTCACGGAACATTTTGCTCACTCACAGAGAAAACCCTCAGCAAAACTGATACAGAGGTGTAGAGGTTCATTTCTTTAACTAATACAGTTTTAAAATGACCATAAAAAAAAAAAAATGAAAAGCAGGGGCCTCCCTGGTGGCGCGGTGGTTGAGCGCTGGGTTGTGAAGCTGCCCGCGGCCTCTGAGGCGCCGGTTCGGTCCCCGGCTGCTCCCCGGCCACTGGAGGAGGGTCCCACATGGCGCGCAGACCTCTCCTGCTGCCCGCTGCTCCCCTCAGCAGTGTGCTTTGGTCCTTCTGCCTGCTCTGCTCCCCGCTCTGGCTCTGGTGAATTCTCTCACCATCCCGTGCTTCTGACTGTACCCAGTGCTTGTATAAATAAATAAATAAATCTAAAAAAAAAAGAAAAAAAAATGAAAAGCAACATGACAGTTTGGGGGGAGAGTCCTGAAAGGAATGCTGTTTGAACATGCAGCTGAATTTCTCCATATTTCATTATTGTGACAATTAAACCAATGACCTATGCAAAGACTTTTTTTTTTTAAATATTTTATTTTATATAATTCTAACATCATTTTTCATTTTTGCCCAAAGTATGCATTTTTATTTTGGTTATATTTCCCCATACAATTGCACCCCCCTTTATTTTGACCCTAATCCTTCCCCTCCCCACCCCACCCCCCTGCAGTGTGTCTCTGGTTTATAGTTGCTTGTTGATTTTGATTATTACTTTGTATTGATTAGTCTTTTTCCTGGTCTCTTATTTAGGTTTTCTAAATTCCTGCTATGAGTGAGACCATCTGGTATTTTTCTTTTTCTTTCTGGCTTATTTCGCTGAGCATGATCCCTTCCAGCACCATCCATGTTGTGCAAATTGCATGTGTTTATCTTTTTTGAATGCTGAGTAATATTCCATGGTATATATGTACCACATCTTCTTGATCCAGTCATCTATTTTTGGGCATTTGGGTTGTTTCCAAAGCTTAGCTATTGTAAACAGTGCTGCTATAAACATAGGGGTGCAGGTGCTCTTTGGAATGGATGTTTCTGTGTCCTTTGGGTAAATACCTAGGAGTGGAATTGCTGGATCATATGGAAGCTCCATCTTTAGTAGGTCAAGAAATCTCCACACAGCTCTCCATAGTGGTTGGACCAGTTTGCACTCCCACCAACAGTGCAGGAGAGTTCCTTTTTCTCCACACCCTCACCAACATTTGTTGTTGCTAGTTTTTTTAATATGTGCCGTTCTCACTGGTATAAGATGGTGTCTCATTGTAGTTTTGATTTGTATTTCCCTGATTACAAGTGATGTTGTACATTTTTTCATATGCCTGTTGCAAAGACTTTTTATGGGGAGAACTGGATTTTACGTATGAGCTTCCCAAGGAAGAAACATCAGGTTAAAGCAGGCAGCTTCTGTGATACTTTAGGGCAAGTTTTCCTTCTTCCTTTTTGTTTCTATTTTACACCCTGCATTCTTCCCCTTCCTGCCTCCTTCTCTTCCCTCATTGTTTATTCTGTCATTCCTCATATGAAGCTATTCAGAAAGGGGATGGTAACATATAGATAAATAGCTTTGTGCCACTGGAGGTGGTTTATTATATTCAGAAAATGTAAATGGAACAATGAAAAGACATCTTGTTTTTTGTTTTAATTCTTTCTTTTTTATATGTGAAAGAAGGTTTACTAGAGTCCTTTTGGATAGAAAAGGAAAAATGGAATTGGAAAATTACACCTGCAACTCCCCTTTCATCTGAAGGGCTTCCCTGTAAACGTCACAGGATGCTATCATGATCTATTGTCAAACAATGCTTTGTGCAACTCATAGAAACATTCTGGCGGTATAGCTCGTATGAGCAACAGAAGTTTCATTAGCTCTGGGATTGAAAACAGAGGAGGAAATAAAGGCAAGTTTGGAGAATGAGAAGGAGTCATTATTTATTCACTGTGTTTTTCAGTTCCAACAAGCCTTGATCTCCTTGGCCCAGAAGGTCCAGCAGGAAGTTGAGTTGGAGCGAGGTTGGATGGTGGATGTGCCACTTTTTAAAATTTTTTTTTAATTTTATTTATTTATTTACACAAGAACTAGGGTACAGGCCAGATTCGCGGGAGGATGAGAGGATTCACCAGAGACAGAGCAGGGAACAGAACAGGCAGACTGATGGAATATACTGCTGAGGGGGACAGCATGCGCAACAGGAGAGGTCTGCTGCGCCATGTGTGACCCTCGCCAGCTGCAGACAGCTTCACAGTGTGACACTCAACAGCCTGCGCCACCAGGGGAGGCCCGATTTATTTAATTTTTATACAAGAGTTAGGGTACAGGCCAGAGGCGCGGGAGGGTGAGAGAATTCACCAGAGACAGAGGGGAGTAGGGGGCGAGACAGGTGAGGTCTGCTGTGCCATGTGGGATTCTCACCAGCAGGCCGGGATCGAACCCGCACTGCAGAGGCTGCGGACAACTTCACAGCGCGGCACTCAAGTGCCACTTTTGACTTAGCGGGCCCTGTGTGGGAAGGAGACAAAGAAAACGCTAGACAAATATTTGTACATTGCACTGAAAGGAAATACAAAATGCATTGCAAATGAGTTAGTCAGTTGACCATATGTTGTTTGATTAGAAGTAATTTCCCTTTGATTGTTTCATTGCCCAAAAATGCTTTTCCTTTGCAACTAGATGACTGCTCTGTCACACACAGTCTGTGAGCAGCTTCATCCTGGTGCCCTATGGGTGTGGGACATCCTTCTGCTCTGCCCAGGCCTGTGTTGTAAGCATCCTGCCAAACACCAAACACAGCTGCCCTTAACCCATCCCTTTCTGCAGAGAACACTTCTCCAATCATCTAATTTTTCAGCGTTTCAAGGTAGAAGGAAGTGGGGTTTGGTGTCCTTTAAGGCAATTTAGCATTTTCTGCTTTTGTTTCTATGGTAGTTGAAATGCACTCAAATGAGCATCTTCGGAGAGGGTCTTGCATCACACTGACAGGCAATTTCAGATGTTTGTCACTTGCAGTCATAATTACTCTTTGGCACCAGATCTTATTCTTTTGCCTGTCTTATCACCAGTGAGTGGTAGGACAGAAATGAAGTAAATGCTGAGATGATGTTTGGACTCCATATGAATGCACATTTACTGGCTTCATGAGAGTTTTGATGTAGTTAAATCAAGAGAAGGAGAGTTAAGCTCTCCCGAGGCACACTGTGGTCTGGGTGTGCAAAAGTGGAAGGGATCCCAACTCCAGCAGCCGACACTGTAGACACTGATGTACTTTCACCAAAAGTCATCATTTTATATTAAAGTGGTATCATTAATTTGATTGTTATTGGCACTCTTATTTTTAATTTGTGATCATGTTAAATTCGATAGTTACATAGAACTCTAAGCATAAGGAAAGTTATTCCTAGTTTTATGTGGATATGGAGAATTATGTGCTACAATGTAATATGTATAAATTTTGAGATACTATTTAGGTAATTAAAATAAAAACCCTTTAGAAGGGTTTCATCTTTAATGGCAGAGAAACACATTGGGTATTAAAATGGTGAGAACAGATTCTATTCAGTAACAACTGGCCTGATGTTCTCTGCCTTCTGGTGTATGTAGAGGGGCTTTTAAGGGGAGAATGAGAGAGTTGCGGGGGCAGCAGGGGGGTGAATGGAGTCAGGGAAATGAAAAATTACAAAACCTAAGAACTTGTTTCCCGTAAGCCCATCTGGATTTTCTACCTGGTGCTTATCAAAGTTATGTTCCTACCCTCCCACAGAGATGGGCTAGGACCCCATCTTCAGGTGTGGGCTGGAACAAACAGTAAATTCTCTTGGTAGCTTCGAGTCTTCTCAGCAGACACGTGAAGGCAGACTAGGATCACCCTGACCTTTAGCTGTTATAAATATGTTTGTGATTGTTCAAGTCTTTATCGTCAAGAGCGAGGCCACATCCAGAAGAGGGCTCAGAGGAGCGTGACTAGAGTTTGGTCAAGCAGAGACTCTTGGCAGTGATAGTTCCAGGCTGGCAGTATGTCCTCACTTCCTTATGATAAACAGTGACTGCTGGATAGTAACTGTTGTGGAGAGAGCTTGGTTTTAAATTCTTAAGCAATAACATATATAATGAAAAATATGCTATTTTGTTTCAGGGTCGAGATCTGGACTGTAAAATTCAGGAATATAAAGCAGCTGGGAAAACCTTCCCAGAAAGTCAGATAATGGAATGGTTTATCCAGCTGTTGCTGGGAGCTGACTACATGCATGAAAGGTATGTTCATTTACTATTGAGGACAGGATATTTATTAATACTTATGTCTGAACCTGAAAATGGATTTTGGTTGTAACCAAGATGAAAATGCATATATTGTGCAAAAATGAAAAGTGATATAAAAAATTATATAAAATTTAAAAAATGATAATTAATAAAGAAAGAAAAGAAAAGTCCAAATGGTAAATGACTCTAGTTACACATCTATAGTATGTTTTCTCATGAGCAAGTTTTATCTCGCAGATTCTCTCGAGTGGCATTTTTTGTTGTTGTTCTAGAGATCAAGTTGACCTTGAATACAGAAACTTGTATTAAAAGATTCTCTTAGATATTATTGGGCTGTCGGAAAAGTCATGATGCATTTTTGCTTGAAAAACATAGAAAAAATATGTCATGACTTTTCCGACAACCCAATATTTGGTCATAGCTTAGGAATCACAAGAGTTCTCAGATAGCTCCAGCATGCACTGAATTTATCGTATCTTATACCAGACAAGCTGTAAATATGCCAGCATGCTACAAATGAAGAGTGCAGTCACCTCGAAGGTGTCTCTGCACGTTGCTTGTGCTCACCTCCCAGAATGAGCTGAGTAACTGAGGCAGAAGATTTTCTCTGGCCTCGGAGACAGAAATTTTCAGACTAAAAGTCAGGTTGAATGTGAAATATATGTGAAGGTCGAAGATATTTTATGAGTTCAATTGTATATAATTTACATTTTCCAACCTCTGCCTCACAAATGTATTTTAAATCTGCATGACTTTTTCTATGGTCAAAAGTAAGAAATTTTAGATGTTAAATGTTTTCTAAACCCTTAAAATGATAGGAACACTTTTGAAAAGATGAACATACATTGACAAATAAAAGTAAATGTATGAGGCATCCCGGTTAGCTTTCCATTTGGGAGGGGCTGGCACGTGTACTAACCTTTTTGAACAAAAGTGGTAATTTATAGGGTACACCAAGGTCTGGCTATCTGTGGATGTTGGATAGCTAAAATATGTCATCTGATAGCATGAAAAGTAAATCGGATTATTTAGCTTTGCCATGTATCTGTTCTCAAACATATGCTTGATGGTACAGATAACCCTGCCTTATGGACAACGCATAAAATCTTCTGAGTGATGTCAAACTATCCTGAGACAACGATAAAAGAATATCAAATAATCTTTTAATAAACTACCCAAAGCCATTGACTGTAGGATTTCCATATCCATATACTTATAGTAGTGTTACTTTATTTTCTTTACTTTTTTTTTTTTTTTTTTTTTTTTTGTGGGACACTAGCCGGGCGGCCGGGGAATGAACCAGCGCTGCAGAGGCTGTGGACAGCCTCGCAGCCCAGCGCTCCACCGCCGCACCACCAGGGGAGGCCCTCTTTACTATTTTGTGGCATATTTGTTAGCTTACACATGAGGAAAACAACACATAGAAAGATGCCAACTCTGTACATTTTTCATAAAGACTAAAACTGATTGATTATGGAGCCCAACTATTTTTAATACATTTGGGTCTGTTTAGTAATAATTAAATAGGTGAACTTAAAATATACCTACAAAGAACAGATTTATAATTTTCAAATCCTTCAACATCCTAAGAAGTCATTAATTGTAAACATATGTGGTATATATAATATATAAATGCCAATTATTTGGATAATTGTGGATCTGAAATATCATCCTTTGGGATTCAAAATACAAATGATCATGCCTTTTATTCATTATATATATTTTTTAAAGATTTATTTATCCATGCATACAAGAACTGGGGTACAGGCCAGAGGTGTGGGGGATGAAAGAAGTCACCAGAGACAGAGTGGGGAGCAGAACAGGCAGATTGACTCAAATACACTGCTGAGAGGAGCAGTGGGTGAGTCAGAAGAGGTCTGCTGCGCCATGTGGGTATCTCCCTGGCCAGGGATCGAACTAGTGCTGCAGTGGCTGCAGTTAGCCTCATAGGTTGTGTCTTAATCCCTTGTGCCACCAGAGAGGCCCTTATTCATTATATATATATATTTTTTTTTTAAAGATTTATTTATTTATGCATACAAGAACTGGGGTACAGGCCAGAGATGTGGGGGGTGAGAGGACTCACCAGAGACAGAGCAGGGAACAGAACAAGCAGACTGACTGAAATACACTGTTGAGGGGAGCAGTGGGCGAGACAGGAGAGATCTGTTCCTTGGTCGGCCGGGGTTCGAACTCATGCTGCAGAGGCTGCGGATTGCTTCATAGTGTGATGCTTAACCCCTTGCGCCACCAGGGAGACACTATTCATTATATTTTTATAACCAATTATTGTGATGTTTCCTGTATGGACAAATTGCAATTTTATATTTTAGTTCATACATTCATTAGATAATAATAATTTAAAAATAAGTCCTAACTTCAAAGAACTGTTAATATAATAGCTGAAATAAACATGTACCCCAAACCTACAAATCATGAAGTATGATGATGGGTTCCATATCATTAACTTTGAAGATTGCTCCCCTGAAGGGTTTGTCCGTGGTGGAAACTATTTCATCTAGAGTAGCCTTGGTTCCTTCTTAGTGACAGGGAACCTCACTATTAGGGTGTGGGGAGGTGGCCTTCCCTTGAATGCTACTTTCTGCTCCACAGTGACCTGGGCAGCCTCACCTGAGTGAATGTGCAGGACTGTGGAGCTTCCCGAGGCTCACCCTACCCTGTCTCCTGCCTGACATATTATGAATTTTGTTTTGGAAAATTTTCATATTTCTTGGAATTTTGGTGGGAATGGGTGACAAGTTTTTCCATGTTGATCCAGTCTCCAGAATTGATTTTTAAATGGGGAAACACTCTTAATCATATATATGTCTTTCTTAACCATAAATATATCTGATCATAAGTACATATTTATATTTATTTAATTACTGTAAAATAGTTTTCAGTACTTAATTTGTGTCGTATTTCAGAAGTAAACTTACCTTAATTATTTGATTTCAAACAATTTAAATCTAAAAGAATGATTTTCTTAGCATATGGCTTAGACACTTATAAGTCATGGTATAAAGAGCTAAGGATATTTACAGATATTTACTAACACTACCTTGAGCAAGTAACACTAAGACTGGTTCCACTGAAGGGAGTTAAGCTTGTTAATACAAAGCCCCGCGCTCAGGTGCTATAGCCATCACTTCTCTCTCATTTTGCATGTTGGCAGCTGTAAGTCCGCTTTACCTGTCTCCCCACTCCAGCACCCACACTGGGGAGCAGCTCCTACCTGGGATATGCTTTCCTTATGGCAAAGGGGAAAGCAAGAGAGTTAGTGGAATTGCTCTTAATGCAATCATCCTTAAGGATTCTGTTGTGACAGTTGCCCTTCTGTTCACTCACCACTGGTCAGATCAGGTCTTGTGACCAACCCCGGTGTTAGAGGGGCAGAGACACCTAATTCTCTCAAAGGGGACATTCAGCCCACAGCACAAGAGGTGTGAGCATTTGGGAATAAGAATCTAACCTACAACTTAAATCTTCAATATAGCTAATAAAAAGATCTAGCTACAAAGTAGTATTCTAGCTTTTTTCTCATATGGTAGATAGTACATATTAAAATGTACTTTGAGAGCCTCCCTGGTGGTGCAGGGGTTAAAGACACAGCACTATCAAGCTATTGCCAGTCACTGTAGCATGAGTTTGATCCCTGACCAGAGAGCTGACCCACATGGAGCAGCAGACTTCTCCTTTCTTGCCTGCTGCTCCCCTCAGCAGTGTATTTCAGTCAGTCTGCCTGCTCTGCTCCCAACTCTGTCTCTGGTGAATCCTATTACCTTGGCAACAAAACACATGTAGGAGTTAGGCTGGGCATCTCAGTTGCAGATGTCTAGTACACATGCTGGGTAATGTGTGTCAACCTGGTGGGCCATGGAGTGGCCAGAGCGGGCATCAATCTGGTGTGTCTATGAGGTTGTTTCTTGATGACGTAGCATAAGAATCTGTGAACTCAGTGAAGTAGATTGTGTCCCCCACTGTGGTTGGACACCACCCAATCCCATAAAGGCCTCAGTAGAACATGAGACAGAGGAAGGAAAAATTCATCCCTCTTCCAACCTCCCTGCTTGGCCTGTGACATCTCATTTTATCCTTGGACTGAGGCTGAGAGGACTCCCCTGGTCCTCAGGCCCTCAGACTTATGCCACCAGCTTTCCTGGGTCTCCATATTGCAGAGGGCAGGTCATGGGATTTCATATCTCTCTATCTCTGTATCTCTGCATCTCCTGTTGGGTCTGTCTCTCTGGAGAGTTCTAATACAGTGCAGCAGCAAAGGAAATAAAGACCCTGAAAGAACTAAGAATGAGGTTACGGAAGAAATGGAGATTTTGTTTACTCCTTTGGAGCATTCTTGGACTTATTTTAATTTGGCTAATTTATGCATTTGAATATTCTAATTCTATAGCATATGGCATAAGCTCTTATAAATAATGATTTTCAAATTGAGAATATTCACAGTTCACTAGAAGCTATCTTGGGAATGCAGCACTAAAAACTCCTTCCTCCCCTAGACCTGAACCTTAAAAAAAATCTAAACTTTTTTTAAAGGTACTTGTGCTCCAAGGCTTTTTGCCAACTCCCTCAAGCTTCCACAGGCTGGTCCAGTATTGGAGAGACTTTGTAACCTTGGATGCAGAATGTCGGACTGTTTCTCTCCTCTTTTTCTGGAAAATGCGCCCCCTCACGTCCTGGATGTCTTCAGAGCCCTGAACCATAGTGTCTGTCTTCCAATCCCAGTGAAATGCTGTAAGATCAAGGTGGGCCACAGCATTCTGCTTAGGCCAAATGCCTGGAGGGATTGGCACAGTTGGGGGGTGTTTGTTCACCCCATGCCATTCTCTTCCATCCAGGAGCCCCCTCAGGTCTGACTCCCTTAGTTTACTCTAGCTGATCTCTGATATCTTCAAAGCACTGCTTCTTCTAATTGTCCAGATTATTTAAATTTTACCGTTTTCTCTATACAACCAGGGAAGCTGGGAGATTTAGTGAGATATAAGCTGATTCATCTTAATTTCAGGAATGTTTTCTCCTAGAAATTTTATTTGGTTGTTTCACAAACCGGCATTGTATTTTGGGGTAGTTTTCTGTTTCTATCTCATACTTTCTTTTCTTTTCTTTATGATTTTGATAATTTAAGATAAAGTACTTATTTTATAGTTTGTATCCTGTTAGATGATCTGAAATTCTCAGGGGCCTAATTTCATTGTCTGTTATTCTGCTGACTCTTAGTTTTGCATTTGCTTTGGCCAGATGTTCCAAGAGGACATTAGCGGCTGTGGACCAACTTTGGTATTAATTTCTTGGCTTGGGATTTCTGAGACCAAACAATAATTACATATTTGAATCTCAAATATGAACAAGCAGAGAGAGATGGTTATGAAATATGAGGGGAATATTATTTTCTCTACTCTTTCCAGGCCTAGAAGCTTTTTTATCACTTGTTTACTGGTGAGTGAGTATTCCTCAGGGTCATCCTTGTGAGGTGTGGATCACATGTTGGATTCATACCTTATCTATGGAGACTCTATGGAGTCTCCACTTTAATGGACGCAAGGGTGTGGCAATTGTTTCTGTGACATATTAAAGCCAACCCTTGGGTTACTGGGCCAGATAATGCCCTAAGCTAGCCGAGAAACCAGCACCTCCCACCCACTCTGATTTTCAGTTTTCTCTTTATGTAACCCCCAGGAACTGTCTTCATCTTTTCATAGGTCAGCTGTGCATGTGTGAAGAAACTTGTATACTTTATTCAACATTTTTGGAGAACGATTTTCAACTTGTTTAGTTCTCTGTAATCCCAGAAATAAAAGTCTGATTCATTTATTTAAAAGTCTGATTACAGGGCCTCCCCTGGTGGCGCAGCGGTTGAGCGCTGGGCTGCGAAGCTGCCCACAGCCTCTGCAGCGCCGGTTCCATCCCTGGCTGCCGGCGAGGGTCCCACATGATGTGACAGACCTCTCCTGCCCCACCCGCTGCTCCCCTCCGCAGTGTATTTCATCACTCTGCTGTTCTGTTCCCCACTCTAGCTCTGGTGAATTCCCTCACCCTCCTGCGCTTCTGACTGTACCCAGTGCTTGTATAAATAAATACATAAATCTTTAAAAAAAATAAAAGTCTGATTACATATCTGATGTAATTGATATAACTTACATCACTGACTTATAGTAAGACTAATAAAATGTTATCCAATAGCGTCATCAACATTGTATCCACAAATATATAAAACCTGAACATTTGGATTAAAATGTAATTTATATATGTAATCATGTATGTTATAGATATTATATAATTTCTATATATTGTAAAGCCTTACATTAACTGTTCCATGGTTATTGGTTCTAGTGCTGCATAGATGATGCTTCAAAAACACAATAAAATCTGTCCTATAGAAATAGTTGAAACTGTGTCACTCTTCTCCTACTATATGTTCCTCCAACTTACAATCTTTGCTTTAAAACTCCTATTTTCCTAGGGAAACTAGAAATGTTGAGGTTTTATAGCTTTTAAACATTAAAAGATATAGCCATGAAAGTATATGTTTATATGGGAATCCCTTTGCATATGCTCATGTATTATTTATATCAGGTTTTAAAATGTTTGTATTTTGCTTGAAATTGTATATCCTTTACTTTTTTTAGGAGGATACTTCATCGAGACTTGAAATCCAAGAATATATTTCTGAAAAATAACCTACTTAAAATTGGTAAGATTTTTAAAAATTTGTATTAAAAAACATGGGAGCATATATTCCAAATGTTTTCAGTGTATCAAATTGAAATATATGGTGCCCTGACAGGTTAGAGTAATTGTACTTGATATGAACTTCTCAAACTTTTGTTCTTACTTGCTGGGGCCCAACAAAACCCACTTATTTTGTTCTTGATTATCTGATACAAATTGAGATTTAAGACATTTCCTATATGCCCGATAGACTCAGCAGATCATTTTTGAATTCCTGCTCCATGCCAGGCACTTTGCAAGTGGTTAGACTCATTTTATTAGTTTGATTGATTATTACAGGCTTCCCCTCTTACCTGATCATCAGCAATTAGCAGTTATCACAGGTAATTAAAATGTTGATGTAATGACTTTGTGAGCCTTGGTTCTTCTTCAGATCTGTACCTCCACTCATGACAGTAACTGATTGTTTAACCTTCCTGTAGGATGTTCTCAGATAGGGAAGGTAGAAAAGCATGTAACTAATTAAGCAAGTGTAGAGAAGCCAATGGATTCAAATTTTTGTCATCATGTTCTTGGAAAGTCTCAGGTCTCTGATTTAAAACTTTTCTTTATTGGAAATTAAGAACAAACTGTCCCCCATCAGAAGAAATTACACATCTTTATATTCAACCCTTTCAGAATCACTGTTTGTTGTTATTCAGACTTCAAATAGCTTTTTGTTTCAATCTGCTGGCTTTCCATGATGCCAGAAATAAAGTTTCAGCTTCACTTTCCTGGCTCAAAGCCTTCTCTCCCCCTGTAAAGCTTATGTTTCTAAAGCTGTTCACCAGCATTGTGTAATTTAAAAGCCATCACTTTTCTTTCCCTTTAAAATGGTCTGAACCAATCATATTAACATTTCAGATTAGGGCCTCCCTGGTGGTGCGAGGGGTTAAGTCTCAGCACTATGAAGCAGTCCTTAGCCCTACAGCGTGAGTTCAATCCACCACCAGGGAGCTGACCCACATGGTGCAGCAGACCTTTCCTATCTGACCCACTGCTCCCCTCAGCAGTGTATTTCAGTTAATTCACCTGTTCTGCTCCCCACTCTGTCTCCGGTGAATCCTCTCAACCCCTGGCACCTCTGGCCTGCACCCCAGCTCTTGTATGCATAAATAAATAAATTTTTTTTAACAAAACATTGTCAGATTAGGGCCTCCCCGGTGGCGCAGTGGTTGGTTGAGCACCGGGTTGCGAAGCTGCCCGCGGCATCTGCAGCGCCGGTTTGATCCCCGGCTGCTCCCCGGCCACTGGAGGAGGGTCCCACATGGCGCGCAGACCTCTCCTGCCGCCCGCTGCTCCCCTCAGCAGTGTACTTCGGTCCTTCTGCCTGCTCTGCTCCCCGCTCTGGCTCTGGTGAATTCTCTCACCCTCCTGCGCTTCTGACTGTACCCAGTGCTTGTATAAATAAATTAATTAATTTTTTTAAAAAGTTTAAAAAAAATTGTCAGATTAGACAGTTGTTAATTTCCAGTGCTGATTTTTCAGTGTTTTAAAGTTGTTATAAAAATCAATTGTTATTTCAAGGTGATTTTGGAGTTTCTCGACTCCTGATGGGCTCCTGCGATCTAGCCACAACCTTAACTGGGACCCCCCATTATATGAGTCCTGAGGCTCTGAAACACCAAGGATATGACACCAAGTCGGACATCTGGTGAGTGCGCCTTGGGCGGCCCTATGACTTGTTCCTCTCTTGCCTGGAGGGATGGTGCGATTCGTCAACAGTCTCCCTTGCTTATTACCCACTGGTCTTAGCCCTTTGAAATATAATTCAGCCTGTGACAAGAATAAGAGGCTCTTTTGGATTGGAACTTGATTTATCCTATTAAGTTGATCTCAGAAATTTTCTTTATTCAGACATAAATTGGTTAGTTTGGATTTTTCCTTCTTCACCCAAAAGAAAGTTCTCAATGTATCATACACATTACTTTGACATGTTTTTGTTAGCCATTAAATAAAGCACCTGTAATCCCAAACACTGCTTTATTTTATTTTGTATTACTTTAAGGTTAACTTAGACCTCTGTGAAGGAATGCACTGCTTTACTTTGTTTTTTATTTTTTTCCCTTCTAGTTACTTTCGAGAATTTTTGCTAAAGATGTCAGCTTTTAGATAAACTTAAGTTTAGTGATAGTTGCATCTGAGCTTTCTCTGAGCTTTGTATCAAAAGAATTTCTTCTATCTCATCATGGAACCAGTTTAAATCTCAGTGCAGAAAACATGTGGAAAATTGTATTCTATTGTTAGCAATAGATTCTATTTGGGGAAAATTTCTTGTTCTTTGAAAAGGAATCTTACATAATTTTTATTTTTTTTTTATTTTTTTTATTTTTTTTTTTTTTTAATAGAGGCATGCTTTATTTATTTGTTTGCTGGTTTGTTTGTTTGTTCTGTTCATACAAGCACTGGGTACAGTCAGAAGCGCGGGAGGGTGAGAGAATTCACCAGAGCCAGAGCGGGGAGCAGAGCAGGCAGAAGGACCGAAGTACACTGCTGAAGGGAGCAGCGGGCGGCAGGAGAGGTCTGCACGCCATGTGGGACCCTCCTCCGGTGGCCGGGGAGCAGCCGGGGATCGAACCGGCGCCGCAGAGGCCGCGTGCAGCTTCGCAACCCAGCGCTCAACCGCTGCGCCACCGGGGAGGCCCCTTACATAATTTTTAGTTTCTTAAATGTTGGAAGGACACTCTAGCTGAGAGCTTGCTAATTAAGTCAATAATTATTGTATGCAAATCAACTTAAGTAGCTCTAAGCTTTCAAAGATGAGCCACATGAAAGATTGTATCCCCTCGGTTCTTCTAAAGAGGATAAAGTAGGAAGTTTCCTTTCCTCTGATTAGGAGAAAGTAAACATAACAGGGTAAATCATGCTCTGGAATTTTCCTAAGGATCACCACTCCTGCTCACTCAAACATGGGCCTGCGCGTGGCAGTTTCTCACTCATCCTGTCTCTTCCATTCACTCTTAGAGTTTCATTTCTAAGTTCTTTGGGAGTCTTTTCTTTGTTAGCATGTTTCTGCCCTGGTGGTCTTTTTCAGTTCAGCTACAACCTTCCTCTCACCCCCCTCCAAAAAAACAGAAGCAAAACAGACAAAAACCCACAATGGTGTGTTCCTAGAGTGAGTTTCTTTCAATCTTGCTCTGTCGAGCACCTATTATTTGCCGATGACTGTGTCACACCTAGGGTATAAACTCCAGTGGTTAGAGTCCCATCCCTTAGGAGAAATCTTCTGGTTCTTTTTTGGAGTAGCTTTCTCCAGTTTGAGAAAATCAATCTTGGACTTTGGATTGAATTTGAGTTACATACCTACATCCCTCTTCACACTTATTAACATTTAAAAATAGATTCAAACATGTAATTATTTACAGCTTAAAATCATATGGTATCTCAGAAAGATGCTATAGCATATCATTTGAATTAAGAGTAAATTGATTTGTGAAGCCTATCATTTAAGCCTTTGGAATTACATGCAGCAAGGAAGCTACATGTAAGCTACATGCATCTGCTTACCAAATCAGATGGGTATCTCCTAGAAACTGCTGCAGAACCTACAGGGGGAGTGCGAAACAGTCTTTTTTTGTCTCAGCTATGTCTGTCTTCTTTTTTAAAAATGTCTGCTAGTATTGCAGCATATTTGTTATATTATTTTAGACTTGCGAAGCTAGCATTAGACTAAGGCAAATCTTTAAAAAGCCAACGTCTTCCACAGATAAAAATTCAGGAGAATTTAAATATATTTTTATATGTTTTGCTGAGGTTATTTCTCTTTAGCAAGTGTGAGCTAAGAATTTATCTTCCTCCTGATCCCAAATAACCACCTTATTATGAATTTAGTAATTACCTTGGTTCTATCTGAATCAAAACAGGCTTATCTGGTAATGAGATTTCTACTACCAAACCTAATGCAGAAAAAGCCGCAGAGAACTATTAATTATAGTGGCAGATACATAAGTGTGATGAGTAATCTTTGGGAGACACTCAGAAAAATTAGGTTGAATGGAGTTGAGAATTTTTCTCTTATACTGCGTGTAGAATCTGTTTACTGTGGAATATTGTCTTAGGATTAGACACACTTATGAGTAATTGGCAGGTGTTTTGCTTTAGCACTAATAGCTGCACATATTTATAGTGCTTAGAGAAAAATTGGTATAATACCAATTATATTTTCATCTGTTAAAGTTCACCCATATGTAACCTATCCTCCTGCAATCTGTTAAACCTTTTCAAATTCATCTATTTATAGCATTAATTGTACAGAAGTTTCTCCCTTAAAAGCAGGTTAGTTTCCAAAAGTTTATAAACAAGTGTCTGAAGAGTCAGGATAATTAGGTTTTCTGAGGACAACATTTTGAATCTACCTGATTTCTATAAGCTATTGCTAAACATTTTTTTCCCTGCAGGAGAAAACTATAATGTGTGAGTTGGGTTTCTCGGCCAGTTCTTTAAATGGACATAAATAGTTACAATTTACTATTTTGGTAGGAGAAATAAAGGACATTGCTATCAGAACGGTACACCTATCAGAACGGTATTCTAGTTAAACAGAGTATTTCATTATTGGTGTTATCTTACTGTGAAATGTCAACCAGATGACTCTTTGATCCTGTGCCCTCTATGTGGTGGGAAGAATAGATACATTTTTGCCAAGATACATCTGGATGTGGAGTTAGGTGAGCTCCTTAGACGTGTAGATTAATATGTTTCATCAGATTTGGGAAGTTTCCAGCCATTATTTCTTTTAGCATGTGTTCTCCTCCTTCCTCACTTCTCTCTCTGCTACTCCCAGTCTGTGTACATTGGGGTACCCACATTTGTCTGATACAGTGCTTATTTTTCTTCATTCATTTTTCTCTCTGTTCTTCACATCACATAATATCTGTCAGTCTATCTTCAAGTTCACCAATTCCACCAGTGAAAATCTACTGTTGTCCACTCTGGTGAATAATTCTCTTCAGTTGTACTTTTTTAATTCTGGAATTTCTCTTTGGTTAATAATTGTGATCTCATTGTTGATACTCTCAAAAATCTCAGGTACTTACAAGTCTTGTTTTGTCTTCACATTTGGTGAGCAGGTTAATGAGTCTTCTCCAAGTTGCAGAGTTGCTTGGCTCCAGGCTTCCCAGTGCCAGGACTTAAGCTGTGCCCTGCTCTAAAATGAGCCTGTCTAAGGCTGGAGAGAAAGAGCAGGGACTGAGCAAAATCATGCAACTGGATGGAAAGTGCCCACTCAGATGTGGCATTCTGAGAAAGCCATGTAGCCAAGCCCAATAGCAACGGGAAGGTTAACTAGACTTCTTGTGTTGAATATTCTGACATATATCCATGTATCAAATCATTATGGTGTGCCCCTGAAAATGATGTTTTATGTCAGTTGTATCTCAATTTTAAGAAAAAGGAAGGAGAAGGGTAAGGTGGATATTTGCAAAGAGTAGGCCATCAACTGGGGGAATTAGTCTTATAAGGATGACAGCACAGGTTGTAGAAAATGGACTGGAGTCAGGGAAGCTCGTGGAGACAAAGAAGTGAACTAGGCAGTCCTTCTATTAACCTTCCACTTTCTACTACTTCTGGAGCTCTGTCAATCTTAAAAGAGCCACTGGGGACTATTAAAGATGATTAAAGCAGTTGGACCACGGCCATTCAACCTGAGTGTGAAGCAGTTTGTGCCACATGGCCAGCGCAGGCTGTTGCCATCCTCAGCTTTTCAGGAGTGACTGAGTGAAAAACACTCAGCAATGGCTGATGCTTGGATCCTTGTTTCCATTGCAACCTCCTTCTCTACCCCAGCTCTGAACAGTGTCCCTGTTATGTCCCAAACCTCGTGGTTTATATGGAATCTCTGATTATTACCCCAAGAATAGCCAAAGATGCTAAAAACTTTCTCTTTTATTTTCTCTTCTACTGCCATGGGATCAGCTGGTCCTCCCTCTCTCCCCGGTGTTGGTCCTGCCTCCAGTCCTTCCACTGACCAAAATCCTGTGGTATGGAGGGCATGGACTCCACAGGGGAGGAAGGTGAGATGCTCTTCCCCCAAACATTGTAAAGCTTGATTGTGGAAGAGAGTATTTAGTAAGAACTTATGTAGGGATGAAATTTGCCCACATTTTGTTTCTACAATTCTAAGGATCTTCTCCAACACATGCTACTCTATTGGGATGGTATGGTAGACGGAAGAAATTCACCTTTCCTTTTAAATATTCTTGTAAAAATTCAGTTCCTTAGACATTCTAGTAATTTTTCAGGTGCTTAGTACCCACGTGTGGCTAGTGGTTATTGTATCCAGAAATACGGAACATTTCTGTCATTGCAGAAAATTCTAGTAGACAGTCCTGAGCTATACTACTCCAACCCCTTTAGGTTCTGGGGTTTTCTTGTGTTCACCCTGCTTTGAATTGGGCAGACACCCTACTGGTTTTACCTACTATTCTTAGAATAGTCCTCTGTGCTTTTTAGTACTCAGTGACTAGTTTGAGGTTGTTCTGGTCTTGGGTTCTTCATTCACACCATCAGTCCCCTGTTCCTTTTCATTCAAATGCAAATAGTGCAGGTCATGTGGTGGTTGTGGTTTGTCTTCACTCACTTGTACTTTGAGGTTCAGTAGGGGATACCTTGTCTCCTAGTGTCATTGAAAGTGTTAGCTCTAGATTTGGGATTTGCTATTCTTTTTTTCATGGGGAGTCAAGGAAGATCCAAACATTATGCTTCCAATATAGCTTCATTCCTCCCATCCCCAGTACTTAGAATCAGCATTGTAACAAAATCCCTGGGTGATTTAATGCATATTAAAGCTTGGCAAGTACTGATGGAGGTTCTGAGACATGATAGGCCTTAATAAGCAGTCACTGTATAATGTTGCTTAAGTATTCATTCAGTCAGCCCAGTGTTTCATTATATTTAGATGCAGTTTATGGTGATAATCAATTCCACTTATGTGAAGACTTTTATTTAGGGAAATACACACCACAGCAAAAATACTCGTATTAAATTTTTATTACTCTGTTTATTCAATTAAGTTTTGTGGACTCTTTTCTAGATGGATGTCAGGATGGTCTTGATTATGTCAAATAAAAATATTATCTAGAAAATCAATAAAACTTCCCCCAACCAACCGCAGTCTTGCTTTGCGGTGGGATGGTCTTCTCTTTGCAGAGTCTGGGAACATTTCAAAGGGTAAATTGAGACAAGACAGAGTCTGAGTTCCATTTGCAATTCATTATCAGCCCATGCTTCAGAAATCCTCTGGCCAGTTCTAGTTTACTTGGACAGATGGCAAGTTTATGAAGTTCAGGTATAATTTGCTTCCCAGGCACATGATCCCAAACCTGCTACATTCACTCCCTCAGGGATTTATTTGCTTATTTCTTCACAGGTGGTGGTATTCAGGAAAAAAAAAAAAAGAATGCAAATCACAGACTTCTATGGAAAATGTGCCTCTCACTTATTTGTTTACTGCTCTTTCTCACTACTGTCCCCCTAACTTTCCACATTGCCAGATTTAAGACCTGGGGGTGAACTAATAGAAAAACCTTCAAAAAAGGATGGAAGTGATGACTTTGCAATGATATAATTATTTTCACGTAGAAATGTCTGGTTGAAAATTGGTGAAAATAGAAACTATAGATATGTTGATATACAGTTGCTATAATAGAAAGTATATATAATAGATTTTAAAATTTGTGACAGGATAATAAAAAATCTTTAACCCTATGTGTCATGGTAGTTTCTATAACCAGGTTGTCTCATATTTCAGTTATGTGTTCATGCAGGCAGTCACCAGTGCAAAAGTTTCCTTTCCCTTTCCAAAAGTTTCTGTTCAGTAGACAAATTATTCTCCATCAGTAGATCAAAGTAAAACAGGTAAATGGAAAGCAGTTGTGTCTTCAGTGTAGCTGAGAGGACTTCCAAAAAAGAGGATGGTCTTGTATCAAAATTAATTGATTACTGAATTAACCTCTAGATCGAATTTTTCCATGGTCTGGTAAACCAGATAAGTCTGCATCTTTTTTCAAGCTTGATAAATTCATTAAGTGTGGCTCAGGTGGAGTTAGGTCTCCACAAAACCAGTGTTTGACTTGTAATCAACTCACTGTGCTTAAGAGACCACTCTGCCCTTCCCCCTCAAGCAACAGAAATATAAAAGCCAAACTTACCTGCTTCTTTTCCGTTAGCTAGAGGGTCTTATTTGTGTACCGTGGTCTGATGCCTTCGCAGCTTGTCGAGTTATAGGGATCCCTGAAAGTGGGCAGTGTGTCCAGATACCACCTGAAGTAAGACATTAAATCTCAGCTATCATTGTCATTAAAATAAAAAGAATCCTTTATTCAGGACTACATTTAGGTAGGAATTCCCCCTTAGTTTTCTTAATGATGTAGAATTACTTTAAAGATATTTCTGTTGGTCTAGAGGTTACTGATTTGCCTGGTTAATCCAAACTAGTGTTGGATTGATCTAGAATTTTAATACTTTGTTCTACCCCTGAAGGGAGAATTACCCATTTTCATATAAGCTTCAAGTAGCTCTTCCATCCTATTTGCAAATGGATTATATTCAGAAAACAAATAAAAAGTGCCAGTTTCCTTTTATGAAATGCTTGGCTACACATTGAGGGAAGTTAGGCTGATAAATTAAATCTTTGTTTTGCATATAAACATCAATGAAACTGCCTTAGAAAGACAAGAGTTAGCTATATATTTTTTCTTCATAGAGATTAAGTAAAAAATTCCTTTCCAATGATCAAACTCTTATTGAGTCCTTACTATGTGCAGGCATTTTCCTGCCAGTTGGTTTGCTCTCTTTAGACAAAGAGTAGTCATTCAGACTTACATTTTGAGCTTTATTCTTTCACCTTTCTCTCTGTCTGATATAGTGAACATATATTTAAATGGGAAAAAAATGAGGAACTGAAATTTTTCTCAAAAGAGAGGTGCACGTTAGTGTCTCATAACCAACCCCCTAATACAACTTGTGTATGTGGCTATCAGACTTAAAATAGGACATTTGTTCCTTAATTCAATTCTGTGACTTTTTCTCCAGGTCTCTGGCATGCATTTTATATGAGATGTGCTGCATGCATCATGCATTCACTGGCTCCAATTTCTTGTCCATTGTTTTAAAAATTGTTGAAGGTGACGCGCCTTCCCTCCCTGAGAGATATCCAAAAGAACTGAATGCCATCATGAAAAGGTATGGTAACAAATGTTTCGCCACAGAAATGATTTCAAATTCTACTTACATTTTATTTGAAAGGTAATTCTGTTTTTAACATTTACAGCATGTTGAACAAGAGTCCTTCACTGAGACCATCTGCCATAGAAATTTTAAAAATCCCTTACATTGATGAACAACTACAGGTATTTAAAATGAAAGTGCTACTGGGAAACACGTGTTAGCATTTAACATCTATGTATACTTTAGGATTAGTGGGAATGAGATGCATTAAGAATCAGTGAGACAATGAAAGAAGAAAGGAGAAAAACTCAAATAGAGTCAAAATGAAGTTATCACAGACATCACAGAAATTCAGAGGATCATGAGGTGACTATATGTTTGTATGTTAGTAAATACAATGACCTAAAAGAGATGGACAGAATCTTAGAATTATACAACTATCCAAGACTGAACAGGGAAGAACAGACCAATTATAACCTAGGACATTGAAACAATAAGCAAAACTCTCCCCAAAGACAATAGTCCAGGACCAGATGGCTTCACAAGTGAATTCTACCAAACCTTCAAAGATGAGCTAATACTATCAAAAAAGATGAGCTAACTCTATCAAAATAGTTTGAGGAAGAGAATAATTCTAAACACATTCTTATGAGGTTAACATTACCCTAATGCCAAAACCAGATAAAGACAACACAAAAAAGGAAAACTCCAGATCAATTTCCCTGATGTAGGAGCAGTAGGGAAAAAGCAAACACTGTAAAGTAAGGAAGGGGCTTTGGTGGTCAAAGCTGGAGTAAGAAACATGAGAAGAAGCAGGCAGTATAAAGAGCCTAAGAAAGTGTTGAAATCATAGGGAAATAGCTGTTATAAGCCCTGACCTAGGTCATGTTCCTTTGAGGGAGGCTCAGAGGGGAGGGATCTTAACTAGGTGCTCCCAAGAGAAACCCCTTGAGAGCAGGGTAAGCAGGACAGGAGGGGAGCTGGGCAGAAGATCCCTGAGTACAATAGGCTCTTGAAAAACATGGGCTTAAACTCACAGGACACTTATACGTGAGTTTTTTCAGTAAATATCATCAATGCATGATTCGTTACATCTGTAAATAAGAATTTATTTCACATTATCTTTCATTTTTGATGTCTAGTGTTAGAAATGTGTGTAACATCGACAGTGTTTTGTGTCATGTATGACAATAGTCATGCAGGTACTAACAGATGACGCATCTTGTAACAAGATGACAAACTTACCATATAGATAAGTCTAGTACAGTACCGTAAATGTATCTTTTCTTACTTGTGATTGTTTTATAGCATAGTCCTTTCTCTAGCTTACTTTATTGTAGTACATATAGCATATAAAATATTGTTAATTGACTATCAGCAAGACTTCTTGTCAACAGCTAGCTATTAGTAGTTATGTTTGGGGGTAGTCCAAAGTTACATTAGGGAGGTCGGTGCTCCTAATTTACCTGTTGTTCAAGGATCCACTGTGTAGAAAGAGCTGTCTTCACTAGCTCCGGGAAAGTCCTCTGAAAAAGAGGTATAGGTGCCCATGTTATATTAGATCAAAACCACACTGACGGGGCTATGTGCATACCCCGCAAAAAGTCAAAAGGGATCCAAGGGTCCTATTGGGACTAGGGTGCAGCAAGTGAGGCATTTGCCCAGAGGCAAAATTAAAGAGGTCACCAAAAACTCAGTAACCAAGGTAACTAATAAGCTGATGCACTATTTATAAAATCCAGTAACAAAATATCAAAAGCTGAAAGACAGGATCCAACAGGACTAGGATTGGTTTGAGGCTGGTTGGGCAGGATGGTATAAATTCTGGGTTGCGTCCTGTCTGTAGTCTGACTTACAGTATTCATCACGACTTTTTGGTATTAATTCTAAATTTTAATAACATTACTTTAAAGTATTATTTGTCTTGGCTACTGATATGTTGTTGTCCCCTCAAATTTTGCATCTGTGATGGGTGCTTCTCATGTCCCTCTCTAGTGATGGCCTTGGGAGTGGGGACATTGTCCACTGCAGGCCCAGAAATGGGAGCTAGCAGGTGTTCTTGGAGCAGAGGGAGGACCTGCCCTGGCTGGGTGACAAGGAGTGAGAGCAGGGGTTGCAAAATGAAGTTGGGGAGGGAGGCAGGAGCCTGACTGTGCAGAGATCTGATTGCATAAGCTAACATGTAATTTTCTGTAACCCGTTGTCGGGGATAAATAGATATCAGTGGGTTTTATTTTCAAGCTCTCAGACATGGTCAATAATACTGCAAATCAGAAAAGACACCTGGTAGTTTTATGCCCTTTCATCCTTGAAGAGGAGTCATTAAGGTATATCAGGTTGGTTCTTTTTTTCCAGCACCTGATGTGTAGATATTCAGAAATGACGCCGGAAGACAAGAATTTGAATTGTCAGAAGGAAGCTGCTCATATAATTAATGCTGTGTAAGTAATTGCTTTGTTTTTAAAAAGCCCAATGAGCGTAAATGTTAAATGCATTTGTCTTTAAAAATCTATTAGTGCTAAACTGGCTGCATGTATCCTAGAATTCACTAAGTCTTGCCAAGAAATTAAGGAGCTTCAGTAACTTAGTGTTCCAAAGCTCTCTGCCCCAGGTGGTAGCAAATTGGAATCATAAAAGTTTAAACCACTGCACAGCTTACAGATCTGCAGGGTAGCTCTGCAGTCGCCTTGTACCTATCTAGAGAAATTACTATCTCAAGCATTCAGTGATAGTTATGCTAATGACCCATCCATATTAAGCATAAATGGCTTTCACAAGTTGGTTTAATGGGACCTGGCAGAGTATCTGTTGAAAAGGCAACATTCTGGAATCCCGAGACAATTGAAAATAACCCAAAATTTAACTTCCATGGGATACATAGAAGCACTAGAGTATTTCTTTGTGTATTTCACAAAGAACCATAATTATTTCCTGACCTGACTTCTCTTTCCTCATTTAAAATGTCTGTGCTGTAACTTACAAGAGACCAGAATGCTAGGCTACTTCAGAAAAGCTATATACAGCTGTGCAGACTGTGTACTGCACAACTGCAGGGCGCACCACTTATAAAGACTGTAATTTTGCTGAAGGAACACTCTATTTGATCTTACAAGGACCCAGTAACAATGGCAGAGCTGTGCAAGGCAGTGGGGTGAAAGCCATAGCCCTCAATTAGCCTGATCTTCCGGGCCAAGTAGCACAAATATGCGTCTCTAACACCCAGTCTGATGGTTTCTCAACTGCACCACGTTTGTTTTCCATCTTCATTTTCAAACTGAGAAAACTGTTGTTGGGGAGGAAAATTCTTCCTCTACCCTTTTAGGTCCTTATGGCTGGAAAGTAATTAAATCAACAGAGGACCGATTAACAGGAGAAAAAGACCAACTTAATTTCACATCCATGCAAATGCCATATGGGAGATGAATATGGAATCTGTGTTGGGAACAGAACAACACACTTATATACTTTTTAAACAAAAGAATTCTTGAAATTCTGGTTTGGAGAGCTAATTCAGTGAGTTAAGGAAAGCTTTTTTATGCAGGAGAAACCAGCCCTTAAAGCTTCACAGCGCTGAAGTGTGTCCATCCCTCCTGCTGCAGGGAGAGCCTCTTCACATGGTCATTTAGTTCCTGCTTTCAGGAGATAGGGAGGTTTCGAGTATCATTTCTTCATCTGCCATTTCCTAAGCAATCCTACCTCAAAATAATAAATAAGCCACTTTGGCACATCTTTGGGTAGCCTCTTCTGAGCCACGAAATTGGTTCACCAAAGATGTTCACTCTTTAATGATTAATCTTCATTTTAAAAATACTGCATCTTGGGAGACATTTTTAGGCATGCTGCTATAATGTAGTTTTCTGGGGTTACTACCTATTCTTTCAAGAATACCTGGAACTTCACATTTTATTTATTAACTAGAAATGTGAGAGTAGTAGATATCTTAATTTTTAAATACTGGACTAATTTTAGCTGCCATTTTTGCACTAGTTGTGACAGTTTGGCTGATACTGTTTCTGATGAAAGTGTGCAAGGGTCCAGTTGTTTAGATGGCATTTCACTTTATGAAATATTGATTTCAAATCATCACTGTTATTTTCAAGATCTATGGCTGTGTTTCAAGGAGATGTGTCTGGTCTTAAGGGATGTGTATTCCTGAAAGTCACATGTTCCCAGCGGCTCTAGTCTAGACCGTATTCCAGAAGGATGAGAACTCCCTACAGTGGTCATTATCATTTTCTCACAGTGTTTTTTCGTAAGGGCGTTGAATGTAGATAGTGTCCTGCAGTATTGGTCTCTGACCAATTCAGGGAGAGAAACAATTGTCATTGAGAGAGTAGTTGCAGACCTTTCAGTGAGTGAGTAATGTAGCACATTTCTGTATCTAAAGATATAGAAATAATATCTTAAATAATATTGCTTAATAATTTGGGAGATAATGATTTTATGCCTGACACTGTTAAAAGTACTTCGAGTACATTTAAACTCACAACAACCCATTGAAGCAGGTACTGTTATTATCATTATTATTCTTTATTGACAATAGAATTGTTAAGTTTCTCGCCCAAGAGGATAAAGCATATAACCTGGGAGCTAGGACTTGAATCCAGAAAATGTTAATAACCTTTGTAACTACCATGCAATGATGTCATAAATACCTATTGTCTTAAGCCTAGAATATAAAGTGTATTCATTGCAGTCTAACTATTATACTACCATTTGGGGGATGCTTTTTTATGTGACGTGCCCTGTACGTACTTTCTCATGTAATTCTCACTTGAGCCCATTTGGGTAATGGATGAGAAAACAGAGGTTCAGTAATCTCCCAAAGGCTACAGAACTAATAAGTGGTAAATACAGCATATAAACCCTGCTGCCTAATTCCAAATAGTATGTCTTGTCTACAATGAATTAGTCTGCCAGTCTATTTACTTTTTAATGGCCAAGATCCCAATTTGTCTTACATGATGAAAACCAGTCATAGGCAATGAAATGAGCAGAAATTTGGAAAGTACATAATTTGCTTTTAAACAAAAATCTAATTTGAAAAATGTTGCCAATTAACCACAGTCCTGGTTGGCTCATTACCCTTCCAGAGTTTATTAGCTCTTGCCTGGCCTGTCTCAAGATGCTCTTCCCCTCTCAGCAGTATAAGGATATATCTGCAAGATACTCACTTAGTTTTTCTGAGCATGTTTTGGATGGATTGCTTCTGGAGAATCTTTATTGTCTATAGGCAAAAGAAGATCCACCTGCAGACCTTGCGGGCGCTATCTGAAGTACAGAAAATGACTCCAAGAGAGAGGATGCGTCTGAGAAAGCTTCAGGCAGCCGATGAGAAAGCAGGGAAGCTAAAGTAAGCTGCTTTCCTGAGGGTACCCCACACCATGGGCCAGTTCCCGAGGTCTAAAGGAATTCACCAATGAAAAGCAAACACCAAAGCCAGAAATCAAAATGCAACTAATCATTGTATTGCTATAGAGCAGCCCCGATATTGAATGGGTTGACATCCTTTTCCCGCTAACAGTATGTTTGTTTATTCACTCCTTCGTTCCTTTAAAAGATGGTTATTTCTGCCCATAGATGGTTATTGGATGCCAGGCGCTATTAATATCAGGCCTTCAGTCTTGTGTGAAAAACTATTAGTGATGAAAATACAGAGTCAGCCTTGCTGTTACTGACACCTCTGTTCCTATGTACCCCGGCGAGAGGGCAAATAGGCAGTGTCACTATTCCATCATCCTTCCCAGAGGCTCCCTGTTCCCTGTCTGCTGATGGACCTGGCAAATCTATAGGGAGAACAGGCTGGCAGGAAATGGTTGATTTAGGAGGCAGACCTCTCCTGTCTTCTCTGGCTGCTCCCCTCAGCAGTGTAATTCAGTACATCTGCCTGTTCTGCTCCCCACTCTGTCTCTGGTGAATCCTGTCACCCCCTGCACCTCTGGCCTATACCCCAGTTCTTGTATGCATGAATAAATAAATCTTTAAAAAATAATAAATTCAACTCTACTAGAGGAAAGGAAGCAGTGAGGGAAATTTTCCACAAATATTTGACAGGTAGCTTGTTCCTGGCTTAGGGCTTGGTGTGTCCCAAAAGCAGACACTGGGTGACTAGCATGTGGCCAGTACTGTCTGGGGACACAGTACCTGGTCGGCACAGTCTGGGAGCATGTGGGATGGGTGCTGGGTGCCGGGTGCTGCTGCACATGAGGTGTTCTGAGTTGGGTTCAAGAACCACAGCGTTCTGTGAGTGCTTCATGAGAGGACCCTGTGAGTGCTGCCCTGCGCACAGCTGGCCTGGCTCCCCAGCTCCCCTGTTTGCCTGTTGAAACAGGGATCACACTTACCTGCATGAGGTTTTAGCAAATCGCAGCCATTTTTCTACATTCACTTTCAATTTGCAGAAAGCTTGTGGAGGAAAAATATGAAGAAAATAACAAACGAATGCAAGAATTGAGATCTCGGAACTTTCAGCAGCTAAATGTCGATGTGCTCCATGTAAGTACTCTCTTACTTTACATTTTACATCAGACCTTTTCTTGCTTCAGATTCTTCGGATTCATGGGTCCCTTTGGGGAGAGAAAGGGACAAGGCAGGAAAAAAAATGACCAGCTTTGCTCAATTCCAGGCAGGACATACTGGGGTTCATCTTAGACTGTGGGGCCAACAGTTAGTGATTACACTCATTCAGAGAAGCTGGATTCAGCTCTCAAAGATAATAGCCTCTTCCCTGCTGGTCCAGGCCTTAGAAGGGGTTGCTCAGCGCCCCCACATCAGCCTTTTCCCTTCTGCCCATTGTTGGCATCCCACCTTTTGTCTTTCAAATGTTGCCTTTTCTTCAGGGAAACCTTTGACCTCTCAGATGCACCGTGGACTGGCCCTCCTTCAAATTCCTAGGACTTACAGGACTTCTCAAACTTTAGAATGTGCTGGAACCCCGGTGGTCTCTTTAAAATGTAGGTTCTGATTTGGTTGATCTCCGGTGGGGTTGGGGCACTGCATTTCCGACAAGCTCCCAGGTGATTCTGATGCTGCTGGCCCTGGACCATCCTCTGGTAAATAATGGGCAGGAATGCGAATGTTTAATCCTCACTGCAGGTGAGGAAGGACCTGGACAGGCCACCAATAAACAGCCCTCCTGGTCATCTCTTTAGGAAAAAAAGCTTGTGACGGGAGCGGGAGAAGAGGAGACGCCTGAGGGGAGCCTTGCTTGTTTGCCCCGCGAGGAGGCTGACGCGAGGAGCCCACGCCTGGAAGAGGCAAGTTTAGTCATATCCGCAGGCGTGGGAGGGAGGCCGGGTTCGTGGTCCTCAGAGAACAAGCGGAGAGGAAGGAGGAAGCCCAACACTGTGCAGATGGACCGAGGACTTTCAGCATCTCAAGGGAAGGCACTGTTGAGCTAAAAAAAAGATGAAATAAAATGTAAGAAAGAAATCAGATGAGTTATGTGCAAGACTCTGAAAAAAATGTGACAACAAAGGGAAAGAAGAGAAAAAGGTCCTGTCTTTGCCCACACACATATTTATGAGTCTGTCTTGGTTCTCCCTTTTCCCTTCTCTTGCCTGACTGAAGCAAACAGACTTCAGAGGCAGTTGTAGGAGATGGAGTCCGAGGGAGTAGGGGTGAGGGTGGGCGGGCGGTGACCATGTAAGCCTGTTGTTAAGCCTGTTGTAGATTTTTTTGGAGGCATTTAGTAGAGTGACTCGGTTTGCTTTCCAGACTCTAACAGAGAGGGGCTTTTATTTTGTCAGGCGTTCTCCGCTTGGCTGAACTTGGGCTTTGAAATCTTGAAGCCTCATTGAACGTGGCCTCCTGTCAGGCAGCGTTTCCTTAAAGGATGAGCTTCAGAGCAGCCAGGTGCCACGGCACACAAGACAGGCCTGGCCTGGCCTTCCTACGTGTGTGACACTGCTGCCAAAGTTGGATTTCTGAACAGATCAGGCCTCCATACATGAAGTAGTAATGGGGATCAGAGACCCAAGCGAGGCCTCCTCTTTCTGAGAGAAGCAATTATGATAATTCTATCCATTCTCTTCAAAGAGAACCTCAGCAAATCAAAGTCAATTGAGAGTCCAAATGCTTATTTTTAAATAATTTCTGAAGGACACAGAGAGACACGTTTTGTGTGGCCTTTGGTCTTTGTTCTTAAAGTTCTCCGTGTGCTATCAGTGAGCCTTTGAAGTTTGGAGCCAGTTCCGCCTCCTGTGACAATTACTGTGCGGTACAAAACGCGGACCTCTTGAAAGCATTTTGACTGTGTTTCCACAAATGCTGCACCACAGCAGAGATGGCTTTGTTTTATTTACCCAAGGTTAGTTTGAACTTTCTGTTTTCAATGAGAAGACGTCCTGGGAGTAGCTCTCCACGAAAGCCATTTATCAAGGAAGGTGGTTACCTCAGCATTAACTCAAGCTCCAAGCGCCCGCACACACAAACCTGAAGGCAAAAAAAAAGGCAAAATGAATATATTTAAGAAGTTTAGCTTTTATTGTTTTGAAGTGTGAATACCGTCACCTGTCTCTTTCATAAACCTCTTTCTTTTCGGAAACTGGAATTCACAAAATTACACTTTCCAAGCTAAAAGAGAACTTGGAAGTCATCCAAATGCCTGTTGTTTCGAGATGAGGAGTGGGGCGGGCCGGGCCGAGGTGAGCCTGAGATCTGGTGCAGAGCTGAAGGAGGCGCCGCTTCTCAGCTGCCGGCTGGGCCTGCTCTGGCCTGAGCCCAAATGAAACGTCCCCTTCAATTTTGCACCCGGGTGCAATTTTGCACCAGCCTCGCCCTGGTCCTGGCCGTGAAACTGAGGTCCTGGGATGGCCAGTGTTTCCCCAGGGCTCCCTGTCCAGTGGACTCAGGGCTGACTCTCTTCTCCCCAACCGCCGTATTGAAATTTGAAAGTCTTATGTCTAGGAGAGGCTTAAGCAGACTTTTCTTTCCAGTCATCATAAACAAGAATTTTGTTTCCTTTGTGGGAATGCTGTTATCTTCTAGCAGCTTCTCGTAAACTCTTAATTCCCTTCCACAAGGAACCTGGTGACCTGACATCAGAGAAGCTGTTGGAGCCACAGCCCGTGTCTCCCTTGGACCTCAGCACACTTGAGTCCAATGTCGAGGACACCAGCGCTGACCTGGGAGATCACGGTATGTGTTTGCATCAGTCCTTGGCGAGGGGCAGAGGCAGGTCCTCTGGGGACCTCTAAGAGAAGCCTACGTCCGTGTGGTACCTCCATGCCGGAGCTGGGCTGTGCCCGGGCTGGAATGCAGAGAGACTGGGTTTGTCTGTCCTCTCCCATCTTCTTTGTACTAGTGAAGATGAGTTGAAATCTGTGCCAGGCGAGGGAGTGCTCCTTCTGCCTCAGTTACTCGGTACTCTCAGGAACCTGACCTGGGGACAGGGAGGCGTGCGTGCTCGCGAGCACTGCTTCCCTCTCCTGCGTGTGCTTTCCCTGGCCCTCATACATTTAAAGTGAAAAAATGAGGTCAGACTTTGAAAATCAACCATCTGAATGTGCAGTCATGGCCAGAAGAATAAAGGTGCTCAGAGCCATCACACAGGTGGGGGGAGCCATTGCCCAACTAGTCAAAAGCTTGTATTGTAGAGAAGAATTACAACCTACTAGCAAATCCCTGGCAGCCTCACCTCTCTAGGACTCAGTTTGCTTATCCATGAAGCAAGAATCAATTCCCCCTGCCAGGTTTGTTATGCAAAACAAATGAGGACAGACATGTGACATGGCCTTGCTCAGTGCCCATCACAGTCGGGGCCACAGAAAGGAAGGAGATGATGGCCCTTTGGGTGAGGGGGCTCAGGTAGAAGCCTCCCTCTCAACACTCTCCCCCGTGCCTCCAACCAAGTGCCAGGAGCTTGGTGGCACTCAATAAATATTTCTTGAGTGAATGAACGAGTGGATTAATAAGTGAATAATAATAAACTAATAAAAGGCTATTGCGAGAAGAAATGCCTGCATGGAAGGAAATAAGAAGGTGCTGGGAAAAACTGAGAGAGCCATCACACCACAGTTCAAATCTATTCCAAGTGAGAAGAAAGGTGGTTCGGTGGCTATGGACTCGTCTACTAGCAGACTAAGGCAGCTGAAGCATCAGGAAAGTCCTTATGCACAGCCAGCTGTCGGAGACTGCTGTGCTCTGGCACAGTCCTGGGGGCGATGCAGTAGCCTCCCATAGACAATGCAGGGGTAGATTCCAGAACAGCAGACAGTTGCGCTCCTGTGTTCAGCGCTCTGCAAGGCGCATCCTCCTGGCCACACAAGGCTAGACGGAGTCTCTCTGGCAGTAGTGAGTTCTCAGACTGGGAATGAAGGAAGTGAAACTTGGATTGGCTGGTCACCTCTACCCAAATTTGCATTGATATCTTTTTGATAAAACTGTTCAAGTTTGTGATGCCTTCTTTAGCCACAAGGAGATAGGCCCCTGAAGCTTTTGTAAGTTGGTATTTGTCAGGTTTTAAAATGGTGTGGCAGACATCTGGCTGGTATTAGATGGTACTGTTGAACAAACTATAAGGTGGATTTGTAGTTTAGATTATTTTGAGGTATTTAATATATGATTTGTTACTTTCCAAAAGTAGAGTTTGAAAGTCCAGAGCTCCCCCCTGAGCCTCTCCTTCCAAAAATATGCAACTGGAGTTAGGCCCCTGGGTAGCACTTCCCCCTGGAGTACAGCCTTCGCAGTCGTGAAAGGGGAAGCCCCACATCAGGATACTGAAGGGCTAGGTTCATTCAGATCAGGAAGTCTTGGCCCAGCTTCCTGGTTTAAAATACTTATTGTTTATTTCATAGGTAAATAGCCAAAGGCTCTAAGTACTTTGCTCCTGGACTCCAGAGCTCCTGCTTTCCAACGGGCGCCCTACCCTTTCCCCCAAAGTGTCTGTGTCTGGAGGTGGTGATGGGAGCCTCAGAAGTGGGCTTTCAAATGGCAGAGAGCCTGTGTGTGTGTCTATGCTAATTTTTGTGAACTGTAGTGGTTAAATTTCTCCTAAGCTGGCCCTGACCACCGGTTTCAGCTGCAGGCTCATGCTGGCATCTGCCTCATCTCTCCTTCTGTCTTTTGTCTTGGGGAACCACAGGCTTCCTTAGTAGCCAAACTGGAATAAGCTGTAAGATCAAAAGAACACAGAACTTTTATTTGGGTCAAATGTCTTGTGAAAATTGTAAACATTTCCCTCATTTTTTCCTTTCTGTACATTCGTATTTTCTGCATTCTACTTATTCTTCAATATTAAACCGCAAAAGGAGGGAGACTCAGAGTTGTGAAAGCATAACCTTTGGGTTGATGATTGATTAGAATGATGGGTAACTACAAGATGAGTCGTGATCACGTAGCTTAATCATGAAATTTTGAGACATGAGACTGTAATTTGGTGATGCATGCTGAATTGGTTCATTATTTTCCACATTCTGTTTGCCTTTTAGAAGATTTGACTCTAAACTTAGAGCATCCAGGAAGTTTGGGTTTTGGTTTTTTGTTTTGTCTAGCATGTATATGTAAACTAAAATCACATCGTCATTTTTTTAAAGCTCCTACACTAAATGTTTAATCAGTCTTTGATGCTGACTTGAAAAATTCCCTCTGGGATGTGAGGAGCTAGGTGCAGAGAAAGAAGGCAGGGTAAGACATTATTTATATTTGCTATGCATTTAGTTGATTTGGCTGATTTAATCTAGCCAGAGCGATGGATAACCATTATAATCAAATGAGGACGCATACTGGAACATTAAAGAAATTATCCCTACTTAACTCCCCATATGTAATGCTGATGATTTCTTGCACATTTTTACCAGGCACTTCCTTGCACTCTGGCTTAATTTTCAGCAACTCATAGCTGAATTTCAGAAGTGTCTCTTGTGAAGCTGGAAGAGCCCAAGACCTCATAGGCCCAGGCCCTTCCAGAGGGTGGCACTCAACTGTTGAGATGTGGACACTACACTGTGTGGGCCTTGCCAGCCAGCCCACAACCTGTCCAGCTGTCACCTCTTAATTTCCCTTTCAGCCACTTCCTGAGCAAATCCTGAGCTACTCCCTGCGTGCAGGGAAAGCTGTGCCATCAGGGGGGCCAGAGGAACTCCACGTGCCCTTTTCAACATGGGCTGCTCTGTGGCTTTTGGCAGCATCTCTTCCTTTTAGGGGTTCAAGCAGCAATAAGGCTACACTAAGGTGCCCAGTGGCTTCTGCGTTGAAGTCCTGGCTCTTTCGATGCTAGTGCTGTGATCTCGAGCAAGACCATGTCTCTGATTCCCACTTTTTACACTTAATTTTTTTCTTAATCAAGAGTCAGTAATACCAAACTTAGAACCTTACTGTTGTCAGTGAGATAACACTTTAGATGGCTGTCACTGTGCCGGCTCCATCAGTGGCAGGAGCTGCTGTTACTAAGTCAGCTACCTAACCAAATGGTCCCGTGGTATGTACCACCATCCTCCCATGCTGAAAGCCAGCTTCCTCTTCCATTTAACCTGTTGTGATCTCTCACCAGAACTTGGCGACCTTCTCAGTGACGGGCTTTTTCCCTTCAGATCCTGCCTTGTGGTGCCTCACAGAACCACGAGTGTGTGCCAGACTCATGCCCTGACCTGGATTGTGAAACTGGGCTGTCTTTGTTAACAAGCTCTTTGAAAATCACTTTTCAAAGCCATACAGAGTGTTCACATTATAAAGATTATAGACACAGGGTAAACAACCTAAAAACGGTCCATCCAAATTTCAATCAAATGAATGCTTGAACTTTCGAGATGAGACTTGTGATGGCTGTTTCTGATTCAGATTCAGGAGAGCCAGACATCAAACACAGCAACTGGGGATGCTCTGGAGGTGGGGCTGCATTACTCAAAGGAGACAGTCGTGACAAGGACACTTGCGTCCATAGTCATTTGAAGACTTTGAACTGTTGTGTTTTATGAAATTTCAGAGTGGAAAAAAGCAACTAAATATATCATTTTATGTAACATGAGAACTTAAGTTTAAGTTTGTTCTAAGTTATCAAAATTGATCTATTTAATTCTTATCCTTTCCAGTTTGACAATCAAATTTAATATTCTTACTGAAAAAATCTGGCAAGTCATTTCATTTTTTAGGTTTCTTTATTAGACGGTCACCACATTTCACCCAGTCTAAAATATACATCTTTGCACTGAAATGGAGGAGCATATTAAAATAGCTAGCATATCATAATTTAATGGGCAGGGGTTTTTTTCTTAGTAATTCATAAAATAATTGTGCATCTTACTGATGGTGTCTTTGATTCAATGACATACAGTATGGTAGGTCTCCGTTGTACCGGCTGGGCTGGGCTAGGCTTGCTGCTAGAATAGCTGCACCTGTTGACTTAGGTAACCAGGGTTTATATCTCATTTCTATAAAGTCCTATATGGATCAAGAATCTTCCCAGGGAAGCTCTTTCCTGTGGAGTGAGGATGGATTCAAGTTTCTGTTAGTTTATAGTGCTACCATCTCAACATATGACTTTTAGGGTCCCCACAAAAGCAGCAGGATGGAGTGTGCATGCCTGCTTATATGTTCCTCTGCTTGGAAATTATTTCCTCTCAATTTGAATGATTCAAACTGGACACCTGGCCCCAACTCCAGCAAGGGAATGAGAAGTACAGTTTTCCTGTGCCCACAGAGAAGAGACTCAGATATAGGTAAACACAAGTGATCTCTGTGACAGCAGCATGTCATTGTTACCTGGCTCTGAAATTGGGATAACTGACAAAGCCCCAGTAAAGAATTAAATGACATGAGGCCTGTGTTTCATTTAGACAGACTAATTAATCTTTACCCCTTCCGAAAAGAATTAATTGACTTGAGGAAAACATGAACGAAAATAGTTTTTCTTTACTTAATCACTAGACTCCACAAAGCTGATAATTACTTTTCAATATTTAAATCTTATGATTGAGTCTGAAAAGTGAAACTTTCACTATAGATGAGGCATTTCTTAAGTTGATTCTTAAATCTCTAATAATGTAGAATTCTTCATATGTAGAATTCTATTCGGGGGCCTTGTGAAGCCTTGCTAAAACTGCTGAGCAGGTTTGTAAGTGTAAGGGAAATGTTTAGAATCTCTGTGAATTCTCCACTTTTATCAGCTAAAGAACAAAGCAGGGCAATGGCCCCCAAAGATG